CAGTTGGTATAGTGCTTGCCTTGCATGCATAAGGCCCTGGGTTCAATCCTCAGCACCACCGACAAAAAGAATAGCTGACAACTAGTTCTCCAGTGCTGCTCAGCATCTGCGCTAGAACCAGCCCCTCTTCACTTGAGACTGGCACAACTAGAACTGGAACATCACCAGTCCACTAGCCTAGAATTTATTTTATAACCGTAGCCTTGCCTACTCTCTGAGTGGAAATGAAACATTCTGATTGAAACCAGGTTGGCAAATTCTCCTATCAGGTAGTAACCAGAGGTGCATATTAAGTGTTCATTACTTCTTTGTAACAAAAGAATGCTTCTTGGCCCATTTGTACCCTTTTTGTTCACTTTATTTTATACTTGGGGTCTTAAGCCTTTTATCCTCAGGCCAAATTTAAGCTGGACTTTGTGGGTATTGCTGATGACTCTAGTTGCAGATCAAATCTTAGCAGGCTTGGCCATAGCACTGGCCTTTGACCCAGCGATTGCCCTCCCTCAAACCAGGGACCCATAAGCTCACAATGTGTCCACTGCCACTGTGACGTCTGTAGATTTTGGAATTTAAAGGCAGCACTTCTTATTTGTTCCTCATTGTAGAAATCACATGGACATCAGCTAAAATAACTAGATCAATGGCCAAAAGCCAGTGTAGAAATATATTTTCCACTCTTTAAAGGAACAAAAATTTCTGGGGGGACATTTCCTAAATAACAAAGTTTTGCGCTGAACACGTTGGACTTTTCAAGCTGAAAAACCCTCATGTTGTTTCCTCTGAAGCTGGTTGTGATCTTGAGTCTTGAACTTTGCTTCTCAATGGAACCATTTGGACAGTGATTTGTGTTTGGTGTGCGTTGTTCTTGGTGTTTTAAGGTGACAGTTATATGTGAACATTTCAAAAATTATATCAAGAAACCAAAGTATGCTTTCCCTTATTGGGTAAGGAGCATGCTTAAGAAAACAGACCTGGGTTTCTGTGTGACCTCTTCCACACAGTAGGACGGTGCTAACTTAGCATTGGTTTCCTCTTTATGGCCTAGACTCGGCCTTCTAAGAATATTACAATAATTTTAAGCCAGATTTCCTTAAGATAGTTTTATCTTTTAATTAGAAAGTGAACATTTCCTGGCTGGGACTATAGCTCAGTGGTAGAGCCCTTGTCTAGCATGCAGAGGCCCTGGGTTCAAACCCCATTACCATTAAAAAAAAAAAAAAAAAAAAAGTGACCATTTTTTAAAAAAATATTTATTTTTTAGTTGTAGTTGGACACAATATCTTTATTTCACTTATTTATTTTTATGTAGTGCTGAGGATTGAACCCAGGGTCCCACCTGTGCAAGGCGAGTGCTCTACCGCCGAGCCACAACCCCAGCCCCATAAAGTGACCATTTTTTAATGAAATTATTAATTTTTAAAATTATTGAGCTCACCTTGATTGCTGATAGGAATGTAAAATGGTGCGGCCACCCCGGGAGCAAGCCTGGCAGTTTCTTATAAAGTTAAACATATACCTAGCCCATGACGCAACTGCTGAACTCCTGGGTATTTGTCCTGGAGATACGAAAGCTTGTGTTCATACAAAAACCCGCCCATGATGGCTCATATCAGCTTTATTTGGAATAGCTAGTGACTGAAAATAACTCAGATGTTTTCCAACAGTAAATTGATACGCAAACTAAGATTCACCCGTACCGTGGAATACTAGTAAGTAAAAAAGAAGGGAATAAACTGTTAATACGCCAATACATGGAATGTGTCTGAAGGACATTATGCTGAGTGAAAAGGCCAATCTCAGTGGGTCACAAACTGTAGGATGCCATTCATTCAAGGTCTTCCCCATGACCAGGTTAGAGATGGAGCTCTAGGATGCGTGGGGAGGGTATGACTAGGAAGGGACACACAAAGGAGTCTTTGTGTTGATGGACAGTCCTGTATAATTGAGGTGAGGGCTGTACCAATCCATACAGGTGATAAACTTTCATAGAAATAATGAAACACCCCCCACCAAAAAAAAGGTGAGATGAGAACTGGAAAAATCCAAAGAAGGTCTATAGTGGGGCTACTGGTGTCACCGGGGTGTCCTTTCCCTGGGTTCCCTGCAGCCATAGAAGACATCATTGAAGATGCTGGAGGAAGCATGCCTGGGAACTGGCCATCCCACTCCTTGTGGCCATCCCACTTTTAAAATTATAACTTTATTTCAAAATAAAAAGAGAACTGATAGGAGATCACAGAAAAAGCAGCTATGGCGACAGGCGTCCAGTACTGAGGCTCTGCTGTCCTGCAGGAGGCGGGGGTCACTTGGCCTGGGCCTCCTGACTGCTGTGGAACCTGGGCCCAGGACAGCTGCCCGCCCAGTAACACAGGACAAGTGGGCTTCCTGGGAGACGGGGAAGAGGCGCCTCGTGTTTTTTGTTTCCTCTTCTTGCACACATTAACGATGGTAAAGGATTTTTTTTTTTAAATGTAAATCTAAAGTGCAAAGGGACCTGAAAAGGAAACATCCGTTGCGGGGCGGGAGTCCTGTAGGGATTTGGGGGAACAGACAGTGGATGGAGGAGCAGTGGCTGGCTGAGCAGGATCTGCTGCCCTGGGCAGGACTGAGCCACTCCTCCCCAAACCCCAGAAGCTCAGGACCAGCCCGCAGATGGGGGGGTGGGATGGGAACCTGGGATGGGGTGTGGCTAGCTGGCCTCCCAGGTCCCCTTCCTTCCTGCCCACCGCAGCACTAGCTCCTCTGCCTGACCGACCAGAAAGTTAATCTCAGATCCAGAGCCAAGAGCGCTGGTCTGGAAACACCAGGGGTAAAACTTGGAACAAGGGGCTGGGGTTGTGGCTCAGAGGTAAAGTGCTTGCCGGGCACACGTGAGGCACTGGATTCAATCCTCAGCACCTCATAAAAATAAAAAAATAAAGGGATGTAGCTCAGTGGCAAAGCGTCTGCCTTGCATTCAGAAAGTCCTGGGTTCGACCCCCACAAAAAAAAAATTGGAACAAATCGGCTTAGGATGAGCAGGGTTCTCAGTCAGCCAATCCCCACTTCCCACCCAAGGAGAGGAAACCAGGATCTTCTGTGGAGAAGCCCAGTGGTCCTGGCTGCTGTCTGTGGCCGACCCACCGGCGTGCACAGCTCCCTGCTGGTGAGTGAGTGAGGGCTTTACTCGCAACATGAACTGGCCATGGAGGACCCCCGGAGCTAGAGGACAGTAAACAATGGGGACAGTAATCAGGAGATGATGTGGAGAACTGGAATTAAACACCACAGTCCACTGTTATTCAGATAAGAGAAGATACCACATTCATAAACCAAGATCGAGTGGGTGCTTTATAAAAGGACCAGGCAAGGAACTTTAAAGTACTCTTAGAAATTTCAAATATGACAACATAGCTTAAAAGTACTATAAGAGTTGGAATATGAAGTTGAGGATATTTGTCAGATGTAAAATATAAAAACAAAGGAGAAAATCAGAGAGAAGATAAAATGATGAGAGAATAAATCCAGGTTGTGTAAAATCCTCATCAGAGTTCCAGAAAGAATAAGACCAGGAACATTTTCCAGACTTAGAGGACTTGATTTTCCTTATGGCTAACATCCCCAGTGTCCAGTAAAATAAATGGAAAAACACCCACACTGAGGCAGAACAGTATTCGGTCTTAACAACATAGGGATAAAGAAGTGGCTTCCAGAAGTAAGCTTTAAGAGGAGGCAAAAGACACAGAGGAAATGACAGATGACTTCTCAGTAGCAAAACTGAATGCTATATACTAAAAGGACTTAAAATCAGCATACTGTAGTGGCATGGCCACATCAATGTTTATAGCAGCTCAGTTCACAATAGCTAAGTTATTGAACCAACCTATGTACCCTTCAATAGATGAATGAAGAGAATGTGTGTGTATATATAGATGATGGAATATTACTCAGCCATAAAGAAGAATGAAATTATGGCATTTTCTGGTAAATGATGGAACTGGAGACTATCATGCTAAGTGAAATAAGCCGATCCTGAAAAAAACAGAGGCCAAATAGTCTCTGATATGCATGTGGATGCTAACACACAATAAAGTGTGGGGGGGAGAATAGAAGGTCATTGGATTAGACGAAGAGGAATGAAGGAAAGGGAGGGAGAATAGGAAAGACAGAATGAATCAGACGTAACTTTCCTATGTTCGTATATGAATACATGATCAGTGAAACTCCATACCATGTACAACCACAAGAATGGAAAGTTATACTCCACGTGTGTATAATATGTCAAAATGCCCTCAATTGTCATGTATAACTAAAAAGAACACATTAAAAAAATTTTTTAAATGCTAAAGACCAGAGCTGGATCTTTAAAATGTAAGGAAAGTTGTTCAGTCTTCTTACTACACTCCAAACAAAAAGATAAAGGTAATTTCAGACACATGGGGACACGAACTTACCTCTCGCACAAAATTTCTTAGATCAGTTGTAGAGAATGTTCTCCTGGAGAAAGGAGGGGAAGGAGGGTGTGGACCCAGGTAATGAGAGCTCTTAACCCCAGGAAACCAGAGAAGGACACGCAAGGCCACAGGGGGACAGGCTGAGCAGGAGGACAGAGTCCTTGGAGGGGTTGTGGGGGGAATGTAATGGAAGGTTAACTGACAGTTATATATATTTGAGAAACAGTGTTGGTACGTCTTTGCTAGACAGCATGGGGGAGAGCTGAAGATACCTAGAAAACGGAGCATGGCAGGCAGGGGTAAGATCAGACAATTATTGATCTCAGAAATAAGCAAAAGGCTTCCCCAAGAAATGTAATCTTTAGTGCATTCTTCAATTGTGACCAATATTTATAAAGTCATATTAAACTCTGACTATTGATTCACCAGAACATTGCCATGTGATTATCTAAAAGGACTAAGAGAGGGAGAGTGGAGTGGTGTGGAGAGCTAGGTCCTCGTGGACTGTAGGAAGAAGCCAGTTACTATCTAAAATTGGGAAAACAAAACATTCTGGACTCTGGTGACATGCAGGAGAAAAGGCGCTTGGCTGGAAGCATTCTGGAGCGAAGGGTGAGAATGGGGACGGCTGAGGCGAGCTGGTCACTGCTCGGTGACTGTCAGTCTCCACGCGCTCTCTGTTCCCGGTAGCAATCGAGAACCTTTTACTTCTGCAGGGTGTGAAGAATCTGTCCCCACTGAATGTTGGGTAGTACACACCTGGGGAGAAGAGGCAGAGAGATTCCCCTGGTCCACGTGGGATGGTCAACGCTGTGTAGCTCATTGTTCCCAGATGGACCAAATACAGTGCCCTGTCCTCCCCTCATGAAGTCCACGCCGCAGGAGTCATCTGCCTGTCTTTCAGGCTCTCCTGGAAGGTTCTATTCACGGGGCAGCCCAAACACTGCCCTTGACTGTGAATTAAGTTCAGGTAGCGGGTTGAGCAGCTGAAGCCCGTCTCTTCACACTAGAGTGACAGCGATTAGCAATCCACTTAAACCCAAGAGGGCACCCTCGCCTCTGGGACCACAGTCCCTGTAAAAGGACATGGCAGCCTTGTGAATGTCTGTCGCCCGCTTGCTCCGTTTATAGTAGGTTCCAAGCAGCCCTTGCACAGGTGAGAACGGCCAGGGTTACACACACCTTGCCACCTGCTCCATCAGGTAAGAAATATGGGCTCTTCGTGATTTTTAAGTCCACATGCGTGACTTTGGGGGCTCGACTGGTAAACACACACAGGTATCCAAGGCCACACAGTGGCAAAATCTGAAGATTGCTTGGTCTGCTGTTTATTAATTTTTTTGCTTTGTTTGTTTGTTTGTCAGAATGTTATGGAACAGTTTAACCCGGGGCTGCGAAATTTAATAAACCTAGGAAAAAATTATGAAAAAGCTGTTAATGGTAAGTCTGTTTTTCTACATTGATCAATGTAAAGCCCATGTAAAAGTTATTCAGTAAATAGTTTACTTATTTTTAAATGCTTAACATTGAATGTTTAAAACAACTTTAAATGGCAAAATTAATTGAATCCACAGAACTGTGCAGTGATAGTGCACGATGACTTTAGTGTGTATGAAATGAGGCGAGTTGAACCGGAATGCAGCGACTGCCAGGCTCATTTTAACCTTCAAATCGGGCTTTGTTGACGTGGCTCAGTCTTCTACATCATTGCCCTCAGGGTGTTTTTTCCTTTTTAAACCAAATTCTCCGTGGACTAATAAACATATAAAATGTGTATTTAAAACATTATGCATGTTCATGTCCTGCACACAGGAATTTTTCTGCTTTTTTTTAATATCAAAGATTTTCTTGCCTTTAAATGTAGCACTTTTGGAAATAACATGAGAACTAGTAGTTTTAGTCCAAATGGAAAAACATACAGAGTTTGGACTTAGATTCTCATTTCAAAATAAACAAGCTTCTCATTCATTTAAAAATAAACTTGAGTGTTGACATTTGCCTCTCTGTGAACTAGAGTTGTTCACAAACTCAAAGTTTCATTGAGAAAACTGATATGCAGGTAAGCATGTGTTTCCCTGCTAAAAAATAGATGCTATTATAATTCAAGCATAATCATCTTAAGATCTTAAGGCGCTGACAATCACCACATTCTGACATGGTCAAGACAATTCTTCCTGGATGGCTGGTGTTACCCACCCATCCCAAATATCCACACTCCGGGTTCACCTTCTACCCTGGTTCACCAGGGTCGTCAAGAAACATAAGTAAAAACTTTAGTTTCCAGTGGTTTAAATCTGAAGAAGTCTTCAGATCAAGTTTCAGCCACTTCAGATCAAGTGGCTTTTAACTTACCCCTTCCTTCTCTCTTCCGCCACACCCCACCGTGCTCCCTGTTGATATTTCAAAAATAAACCTGTGGCCTGTGTCCCTTAGCAGAGGCAGCCCAGGAAAGGGGGATGTGCTGGCTGGACCGTGGGTGACAGGGAGCATTGTTGCTGTAGTCATCAGAGAAGGAAACTGCTTCCTTACTTCGTCACCGAGCTTGCTTTGCCTGACACTTTCAGTGTCAGGAAGGGCAGCAGGTCGGGGACCCCCAGCCCCCTGACCCCCAGCCTCAGTGCCGTCTGCAGGCGCCTTCCCTCCTTCAGAGGGCAAGACCCCGCGTGGCATTGCTGTCTCTCCCTGGGTGGTTGCTTAATCACAAGCCCCAGAGTCATTGCTGTAGACGTCCTTGTGAAGGAGATCACTGTGGCCCACAGAGGGGTGGTGTTTTTTTCCCCTGCCTCTCTGAGGCGGAATTGCAAGGTAGGTCAGGGAGCTGCCCACAGCGTGGCGTCCTGCCAGCAAGACTTCTCACTTTAACACCTCCTGGAGAAGATTCTCTAATTCGCAAGCATTCCCAGAGTTTCTGCAGTCCATCTGGCCATAGTTTTGCCAAAGCCACTGAGAAATTTTAAATATTTATAAAATTGTTGGTGGGGATTTGGAGTAGAGTTGAGGATGCCGGCCAGATGTGCAGTCAGCCGATTATAAAATGGAGAACACTGAATGAATAAGAGCCGTGTGGACACCGTGTCCCAGGAGGCTGGTCAGCGGGGGCTGCTGTGGACTGGAGCAGGCAGGAGGCCGTGCGGGAGCTGCGCTGGCCAACAGATGTTGAGCTCCAGCAGGCGCCCGCTGTGTCACTCAGAAAAACAGCGTCCAGGCCAAACCCTGGGTCCGGCCGGCCTGGATACGGCTGGTGCGGAATAGGTGGAAGGGCTGACTTGTGTATGCATTTGAATCCATCATAGTCACAGTTGCTGTACAACAAGCGTCCTCAGACTTGTGGCTTTGGACAGAAGTTTGTGATTTCTTCTGTGAAGGCAGGACAGTTCTCAGACACCTGGAACTCACTTCTGCAGCTGCAATCCGCTGAGCCCCAGATCAAGGCTGGGAACTGGGCTAGCTCTCTCCTCACGAGGTCTTTCCCTTCAGTGAGACCACACTGGTTCCTCACACCACAGCGGTGGTGTCCCGAGAGTATAAGCACCAATACCTAGCACCAATCAAGCATCTCTGGTGCTTGCCGATGCCACACTGGTCAAAGCAAGCAAGTCACATGGCCAACCTACCTTCAGTGTGGCTGGGAACCACACACATGGAATTCTGGGAGGTGTGGTTCATTGAAGGCCATTACTGTAAAAATCTACCATGATCTCCAGGGAGCATGGGTTTACCCTACTGGCCAAGGGAGGCCATTAAAGGCTTTTGAACAGGGCAAGTAACCCAACAAAACTATTTTAAGGAAAACTTAGCTGGTAGAGGTATGTATATAGTTTATCTAGTTTGATGAAATAGTTTACCAGCCACTAAAGTGGAACAAATATGCCTCTTTCCTTAAACAATAAGTAGTAGAAACACAATAAGAATTGTGTTCCCAAAAGGAGGCAAAATTATTAAAATGTTACTTTATTATTAGTTCTAGATACATTTATTATATACATAATTTTATAATATATATAAAATTTTATAATATATTTTTTTTTTTGCACTGAGGATTGAAACAAGGAGTACTTAACCACCAAGCAACCACATCTCCAGCCCTTCTATATATTTTATCTAGAGACAGGTTGCTGAGGTTGGCTTTGAACTTGTGATCCTTCTGCCTCAGTCTCCCGAGCCACTAGGATTATAGGCGTGCACCACGGTGCCCAGCAAGTTATATAATTTTAAAGTTAATTTTATCATAAAAGCAAATATATTTTTTAAGACTGACAAGATTACATGGCTTTAAATGTAAGTCAACAGTTAATGAAATTTTTCGATTTCGCGTGGGGATGCAAACCAGAAATTTTGTTTAAATATTGTGCAATCCTGCATGCCGTTCTCCCACTAACTGGCTTTTCAGCTTATCAGTACTCTACAATTTAAAATCTTCATTCTAAAATGCATATATTAACTTGACAGTTTACTGGTCATGCACCATGTTTTGAGGTAGAGTCACTGTTTTCTCATCCCAGCTAAGACCAGAGAGTCAAAAAGCACCACAGTTTAGGCCTAAGGAAGTGGAGTTGGAGCTGTGTGGCTGTCTCTGACTCACTGCTGACCTTGGGGACCTCCCAGGATATCTCCACCCCACTCCCCTTCACAAGAGAGGCTGATAACATTCCCATTGACATTATAGGGTAGATTAACCAAGTAATGGCTTGAAAAGTCATATAAATGGTAATTGCTGTTGTTCTTTTTGTAATTATGCTTTAAGTTTATCCCCAGTCATATAAAATAATTGTACAGCAGAACACTGCATTTCCTGAACTTCTATACAGACATAGTGAATGCTGTAACTTAAAATTTTTAAATGTCTACAATAATAGATAAATTTGTCATAAAATTGGGTTATTTGTTTTGGCCTTCAGCTGGACCTGATGTAACTCTCCGCCCCCTCCTACCGTGTGTGTGGGGGTGATGGTGCTGGGGATCGAACCCAGGGCTTTGTGCGTTTGAGGCAAGTGCCCTACCAACTGAGCTACACCCCACCAACTCCCCCGTGGGTGGCTCAGTGGCAGACTCCGTGCCTAGCATGTGTGATGCCCTGGGTTCAAATCTCAGCACCGCATACAATTAAATTTTTTAAAAATTCATCAACTAATTTAAAAAAAATTAACATTTTTACTAGGGCCTTTCCCGGCTATCTTTAGAATAGTTACATAAATATAGATGTTGATACAACTGTGGTCATTGTGTCTTTGATATGCATCTGGTTTTGTTTTCATCAAAAATAGAATATAGCCATCTTTACATATAATACATATATATTTTTAAATCCACTCTTTAAGAATATGCTGGTTATGAAGTAGGCAAAGCAGCTGGGACACCCTCTCGTTGTCCTCTTGGTAAAGGCGGTGACTGGACAGGGGGTCCTTTGGGTTCTAAAATCCTGCCATACCTAAAGCTGCAGGAGAAGCCAGTTTCTATGTATGAAACTAATCTTTGGAGTAAAGTAAAATAAATGATTTTCTCCAAAATCACCTACAAGGTATCGTGGCAAGGCCGGCTTGTCGAGCACCTTCCTTCTTAAGCTGCACTTGCTCTGGCCCCTGCCATCGGCAGCCACGTTTCCCACTCCTCTGTCCTAAAGATTGAACCCAGGAAAGCTGAACCACTGAGCTATCTGCCTAGCCCTGGGTAGAAGTTTTTATTTCAAGACAGGGTCTTATTGAGTTGCCCAGGCTGGTCTCAAACTTGCAATCCTCCTGCTTCAGCCTCCTGAGGAGCTGATACTACAGGTGTGGGCCACTGGGCCCAGGGAGCAGCTGCCATTTTTTCATCAGACACTCTCATCATTAGGGCATTTTATGGATGAACAACCTCATTTCAGAAAGGATATGCAACTTGTCCACAGAAGTCATGGAGTCATAGTTTAGTCTTCAAAATCAGTTTGAAGGGGGAAATGTTTTTAAAATAATTAGAACCCAGCTCATATGGCAATAAACATTTTTCTGTTTCTGCCAAAAAGGGAGGAGGAGCATTCTGTTTTGTTGGGTTCTCCCCCCTAAATAATTCTGTTTTTTTTGGGGGGTGCTACTATATTTCAAATTTCATAGGTTTCCCCGGTAGCAAATATGCTGGCTCTTTGTGATTTCAAATGTCTTTTTTAATAGAAAAAAAAAAAAAAAAACGTACCATCAAAGGACCAGGTTCTTAGACTCCCCACTCAAGTCCTCCTAACTAATAATGTTGCTGACCTGTAGTGCTATAGAATAACCATCTGGGAAAAGAGTTTTCGCTGGAGTAGATGTGTTCCCAATCCTGATTGGGTGTCGGGCACATCTGCTCTGGAACTGGTGCCAGGAGTGGCCAGGGCCTTCTCTGGACCTCTGGCTCCTATTGCTGAAGTTTCCTAGGCTGGTCCCAGGTGAGGATCTGATGGGGCTCTGCTGTGGGCAGAGGCCACCAGCACAGCCATCAGGCATGAGTCCCGCCTCCAGGCCACATTTGCCATAGCCAGGAGGGACCTGGGATGTTTGAAAGAAAACTTGTGTCAGTTCCTCCTTTCCTTGTCTAAGTGACGATTTTGTGTGTTCCCTTTGCTGTCTAGCTATGATCCTCGCAGGAAAAGCCTACTACGATGGAGTGGCCAAGATGGGGGAAATTGCCACCGGGTCTCTGGTGTCCACCGAGCTGGGTGAGCCAACCATCCATTATTCAGAAACCTAACTTGTCATCCTGGGCACCCTGATGAGAAGGTACAGGGTGGCTGCGGGCACTCCATGGCCTGTGGCAGCAGAGGCTCAGTGGAGGGCAGGCCAGGCCCAAAGCCCGGCCGAGCAGAGGGGCTTCCCTGCAACCGGGGAATCCTGGCTCCTGCTCTGGCCTCTCACCCTGGCCCCGAGGTTCGAGCCTGGAGCCTGACCTACATTCTGAGCCGCAGGAGGTGGGCAAGCCGTGGCCTGGCAGGAGTGCTTCCTGAGTCACCGAGGGAAACGGGCTCTGCGTGGCACTCTTGGCTCTTGCGGCTTCCACAGTGGCTCTTGGTGGTGACTTTTCCGGTTCTGCTGGTATGAATCGATCTCCTGTGCAGCAGCGGAGGGTGGCCACACCCTGGGCTGCAGGCGGGGGAGCGGGTTTCTATTTACAGAGCCACTTGGCTGTTGCCATTGCCTGCCAAGAAAGGTCCGTTTTTTTTATAGCCCCGAATGTCGCCCTCATTTTCAAAACTGTCGAGTGTGTTTTATTGTATAAGGGGTAAGATTTCAGCCTCAGAGTGTTTGGAAACATTCAGAAAACCAGAAGGAAAGGACAGGAAAGAGGGGTCTGTGGGTTTGAAGAAGTGTCTGGAACGTGGGGAGGAAAAACAGAGGAGCGCAGGGTCCCAAAGTCAGCCCGGCCCAGGGCCTTCAAAGTGGTTGCGAAACCCTGACCATCAGCGGCCAGGATGGAGTGGGGCCAGCTGGGCGAAGTCCATCTGGACTCATGATTTCTGGCGCTTCCTTAAGCTGTAGGTGACAGGTGGGCTGCAGCCAGTGTGATGGGGTCTCATGCAGCTGTGCACGGTGGCTGGACCCTAGCTCGAGCGCTCTGGGGACTGACCTGGGGCACTGCTCCAGCACCCGCAGGTAACAACACACAGACGCAAAACCCAGGACGTTTGGGGGAGTAGGTAGGATGATTGTAGGGTTCCAAACAGGGTGAAATTAATAAGAAACGTCCCATTTGTGTCATCAGGGGAAAAAAACCAAGTGTGACCCTTACATTAAAACATATGGCGCTCTGACTCACTGCCATTCAGGGTGCCTTTTTAATGTTTTATGGGTCCTGCCACTGTTTAAATAAGACTTCGGCTCCACACCTTGCTTTATCCAGCTGTGAATCAACTATTTCCACAGCAACAGTGTTGTTATAAACACGGCTTGAAACTCCAGTTTCAGTAAGGAATATATGTTTCGATGGCGAAGTTTCTTTCATGTGGATTTGTGTCTTATTCGGAGGGAATGGAAATAACTTTGGTTTCACATTTTTTGTTTCAAGATATCCTTTTGCTTATACGCACGGCCTCACAGTTACTAGCTTTCCACGGGGCTACAACAGTTCCAGGATAAAATAGCACCTCAGTACGAGATGATGATTGGGAGGCTGATATTAACTTCTTTTGACTTGCAAGTTTTCATTTCGTTGTGAATGAAATTTTAGACTAAAATACCATCCTGCATCTGTTTAAATTCCCTATATAGAAGAGTAGTGGCAACTAATTTAAAAAAAAAAAAAAGTGGCCAAAGGTAGACAATATTTTTCTTGTTTTCCAAGAAGATTTTATTGTGTGGTTATTCCTGCCTTTCAGTGTTGGTGCTCATAGTTTGATTGTAAATCTTATAAACTTTCATTCACCGTGTCTTTTTTTATTTTAATAGTGTTCTTTGTTTTATATACCTTTATTTATTGTTCTCTGGTGCCGAGGATTGAACCCAGTGTCTCACACATGCCAGGCACACGCTCTACCACTGAGCTACAGTCCCAGTCCCTCACTGTGTCTTTTGGGTTGAAGTCCACTAGTAAAGCCAGAGCTGCCGCAGAACTATGGCTGATTTCTAGCTGTGGATATTCCCATTTAGACATCCCAGCTGACATTAGTTCACCCATTGCTCTGTGAATAATTTAGGATCCTTTTGCCTAAAAGTAACAAAGTATACAGCCAACAATGATTAAGCAACAGCATGCTGCTTGTTCCACATAAGGCCAGGAGTAACAGGTTCCCAGTTAATCCGGGGAACCTAGGTTCCTTATCCTCAGCGTCATGCCCATTTCCTCATTCATGGTACTAAGATGGCTGCCAGTCTGAGCATCACCTCTCTTCCCATGGTCTCCAAAAGCAGGAAAGGGGATTTCTTCTCAGATGTACTCTTTTACAAAGGAGGAAACCTTTGCCCAGAAGCCCCAGCACACAACCCCTCGGGTCTCATAGTCCAGTTTGGATCACACACCCACGCCCAGCTCCCAGAAAGCCTTCCCTGGCACGTTAGCCAAGGAATGCCAGGGAGGAGAGGGCACAGCTGTTAGGAGATGGCCTAGTGATGGCCCCCACATCAGGCGTCTGGCATGAAAGGTCTGTTTCAACAGCTTCTGATGGAAGGAAAGGAGCTACACCAGCGTGCCCTCTAGCAGGACCTTGCGCTTCTGAGCTCTGCGTGTGTCTGGTTGGGTGACATTTTTCTCCCACGTGGCTGGGGGGGTGCGTTACTTCCTCCAGAAGGCCATGGCGGTCCTTCCTGGTCTGCCCTGTGTGGAAGCAGGAATTCTAGCGCAGAGGCAGCAGGGCGTGGGCAGCTCTGTGTCCTCCGCCCTCGGGCTTTCCCCAAGCCTCCAGGACTTGTCCCCATGAGCGCGCATCTTCCCCACGCCGCCCTCTCCACGGTCCTCCTCGGGTCTTCTTCTGGCTGGGGAGTCTGCAGGGCCAGGTCAGCAGCTGCTTTCACTTGTGACCCCCTCGGCTGTATGGTGGACCGATGGGGGGATAGAGAAAATGAGTCACCCGCCCCTCTGCAGCCACCGGCCGCTGCTATGGGTCCCTGCGCTCTGGGACAGCGGCGACCTCATGCAGTGCGCCTGCGCTTGCTGAAGCCGCTTTTTCCTGTGAGGGGCCCCAGCCGGCCTGCGATCCCGGGCAGCAGGAACAGCGGAAAAGTGCTTGCTCTGCGTGGGGACCAGTATCCTCTGCGGGCAGCGCTGGCCTTCAGTTCTCGCCGCGGCCCTGGGGGTGGAGTTGAGGCAGCTGTGCCGTGGCCTCACAGTGAGGCTCCAGAGCCAGCGAGGGCTCGCCCAACCTGGGTCGCCGGGACTCTGAGTTCTTCACCCTCGAACTCTGGAGCACGTCGCTGAGGCCAGGGGAAGAGGAGAGGCCAGCCGGGAAGGGTCACTGAAGAGGAAGAACATGGGGTCCCAATGATGGAGGTCTTTTTGAGAAGGAATGACAGGTTATTTGTTGTTAATGGCAGATTGGGGCCAGCAGGTGTGGTGATTGGCAATGACCAGTGTCCGTAGAAATGATCTCACTAGGGTCTTGACCATAAGCACCAGGTGTCTGGAGGTCAAGGAGAAGGGAGATTCCAGAGACATCGTCCACACCGAACTGTGGGTCCACCACCTCATTCCCCCAGCCCCCCCCCCCCCCCCAATGAATTTCTCCAGATTGTGCGCAGGTGCAGCATCCCTCTGGGAGGTGATAACATGATGGTCACCAATTTCGGGGTGTAAGAATTAGCCTGCAGGGGTGACCACCTGGACTCCCTTATCCCCAGCATGTGCTTCCCAGCCAAGCAAGGTGGAGCAAGGCTTGCAGAGGCTGCCACCCTGGAGCTGGGCAGGCATCTGTGCACCTGGTGGAGAGCACACCCTGCCCAGGAGCCCAAGGAGGACCCAGGAGTGAGGCCTGGTGCGTTTTACTTTCCCCTTGGACGGCTAGGGAGTGGGCCACCTGAGCCTGCATTGCTGCTGTCAACTATGGTGGGCCGGCCAGGCGTAAAGGACGATGGCCACAGCCTGAAGACGGATGAGGCAGTGAGCCTGTGGCATCCGAAGTATCAAAGACCGAAGACGCCCCAGTGCTGGTCCACGGGCTCACACTTAGTTGAGAATTTCAAAGCAACAGCAATTATTTTTCATCAGCATTACTCTCTTCTATAAAGCAGGTGATGTGAATTTGTAAGAATATGCACTTTTCCTTGATTTTTTTTTTTTAAACTCGGGAGGCAGCCCAGGGCCTCACACATCCTAGCCAAGTACTCTGCCCCAAGCTACACCCCTAGCTCTTTCCTTGATTATTCTTGAGACAGTTGTTCAGTTCTCTCCGTTGTATCTTTGTTTTCTGTTTCATGGATGTCTGTTTCCTCTCTGTCTTTGAGGTCACTCTTATTCTTTTCCTAATTTCTCAAATGGCACACTTACTGTGTTAATTTTAAATATAGCAGTCTTGCTTTTCATTGTAATGAAGATATCTCTGCAAGTGGAAACCACGTTGTCATTCTTGATATTTAATGGAGAAAGTTATCATTTTGTGACCTTTAAAAATGTTTGTCAGAATGTTTAAAATAGTCTTATTTATGAGTGTATAGGGAAGTAAAAAATAATAGAACTAATATTTAATTAAGCACACTGTAATTTAAATAATTAGAAACATTGCAAATTAAAGTGCTTTTATAGGTAAAAAGTTTATCAAGTAATTTTAACTACACTGCTTTCCCATACAGCTTGGAACATGGAGTGAGCATTTTCTCTTTGCTTTAGCACAGTGTCATACTCTCTTAAATTTGGATTGTTGAGACATAAAGGGAAAAAAATCAACTCAGTATCTACTCTTCTCCAGCGCAAACACTTATATGACCAAACCCTATACACCAAGCAGGCAATTCTGCAGTGAACTAGCTGGGGTGTCCTCTCTTTCAATTCAACTCTGTCATTATCTACCTGGAGATAGTAACAGACCCCACTGGTTGAGGGCTCAGTCCCCCAACTTCAGAGCCAGTCACAAGTAATAAGTTGTTACCTGTTCTCTGGCCAGGTGGCTATAAGTTGCAGTTCCCACTACCTCCTCCTGGGTTTGACTCATTTGCTAGAGTGACTCACAGAACCCGGAAACACTTATTACCCATTTATTGTAAAGGATACTGTGAAGGTACAGATGCACACACTTAG